TAATAATTATACAATCAACTATTAATGAAAATAATCATACAATATTGAAAAAATATCATACAGATTATTCTTTCCACATCTTCAACAGTGAAATCCTATCCCAGAAGAGTGTTAACAAAAATTAAATAGAAGTTGTCATTTGGTTGGCTGCATTTTTAATCCAAGTAGACAAATTAATGGCGTAAATGTGCCAAATCAGCTTTTTGTCTCCACACATGGAGTTTTCCATCAATTGTGGATAATGGATTTGAAAGGAATGATCGATAGATAAACATTTGAATAAATGAGTGGGCAACGGATAAACTTTTTTTGTTCAATGAGTAAGCACTAACACAGACTAAAGTTCGGTAGGAATTAATTTAATTAACTCATCTCCTTTCTTTATATAATACTTTTTAATTTCTTATTATCCAAAATCAAATATCATTTTTGGATAATAACCAAATCCATTCCTCTTGTAATCTCCCAAACATTTTGGAATTTCAAAATCCCCAAATCTCTTAGCACCTCGTCGGAGCAACCCTAAATTACCAAGGTTGATTGGTATCGATGTCGTCGTCATAGCAGATGGAGACTCATAATCTCACCTCCTCTAATTGGCATCTGTGTCTTCTCCACCCTATTCCTTACTTATGAATTCCATTTGAACACAAGTTCTCTTAGTTTAAGGTTCTTTTCCTTCTCTTCTTACAGCTTGTACCACCCAATTTGGTAGCTCTTGGGTTGTTTTTGTTGAAATTTGGTTTAGAAAATGAAAATTTAGTTTAGTATACAACTTTAAAAAGTGAATGTGTCAATTTCGGCCAAATATTCGAACTTGTTCGATAGTCAAATTATAAATATAAATAGACTAACTTGTTCTGCTTGTTGAGTAGATCGTCTGGTATATTTGGGGATCTAAAAACCAATCCGATGAATGAGATATTGAGCTCCAAAGATGGAAAGAAAAGAGGAAAAACTGGCCCGAAAAAAGGCCTTAACTCCAATGCTCGTATAGCGCTTGAGAATGTTGCTCCAGCGATAGGTGAGAGAGAGAGGTTCTATTGAATAGGTGTCACTGTCACTCGAGCGAGAAGCTAGTGACAGCAAGATATGCTTCCCTTCATGAAGGTTGCTGAATTTGGGGCATGATACTTCACTCAACATCTCATCTTCTATGAATAGGTCATTTGAACGTCCATTATGCATTACATATCATTTGCATTATATCAAAATCTTGCCAAAACACTCCAAAAATCATTTTCTTGTAAAGGGAAAAAATTTAGTACAAGTTCGTTGGTTTACGTAATTTGGAGTGGTCCTATTGCGAGATATGGACATTGTATCTTGCCTCGGCCAATCCCATCATCCTTATTTCATTTTTTGATTTCTTTCAATTATGCTTTGAATTTAGAAAAATGACTAACTTTCTTTTGTTTATATTGAAAGGTTCGAATTAAAGAATGTAATGGCTTTTATTTGAAGAATGGAAATGATTGAATTCATTGTCACGTATTCAAGTTCGGTAATATCATTTCACCTTCTCAAATTCAATTTTTCGTTTGTCAATTTATGTTTCAATTTCATGCATATAAACGGTAAGTTTTTTTGAATATGATGTATGCACATTTATCGGTGTAAAATCTCCAACAGTTTTCGTCACCACTATTGTATTCTTTTAGTGAATATTTGCATGCACAAAAAAGAGCGAGCGAGCGAGCGAGCTTGGGATTAAAATGAAAAAAATAATGTTAGGGCAATATGCAGGGAGTGGGGATGTCCCATCCCACATTGCCCAGTCTCGACTTGGATGGGGAGTTAAGAATCCCTTGCGGATCCACATCTTCGTCCAACCAATCTCGTTGTCATTTCTATTCTAGGTTTTCAACCTATTTAAATCTGTGAATTTGGGTCGTCAAGTAATGGAAACCCGTTATAGTGGATGTTAAAGTTACCCATGACTTTTACGTAACTTAAAGTCAGAGAGTAAAATCATTTTATTTTCAATTTTAAGCCATGTCCAATTTTGACGTCCACATTGAGAATTTCCTACACGCTAAGAGACAAAATTTTCAAATTTAAATAGAATGAGAATACTTTAAATTACCGAAATCTCCAATGACGTGTCAAGTTTCTAATTTTTTATTGGGTGTGATTTTTCTTTCTTCTTCTTTTCATCACGTTTTTTTTTTCCCTTTTTTTAATTATGAAATTCTAGGTGGCATCATGTTTGATTTAGCTTAAGGGATTTTGTATCATTGCTGTACAACCTATGGACTTGGTCACATTCTCGTCCCTAACATATGTTTCTTGATTGCATAGTCAACAAGCTTTACATTTGTAGCTCCTTTAATCCGTAATTACTCTTCAATCAAATAAAGCAACACACGTGAACATTGCGTACAATTTCTTAGGAGTAAAATTGTTTGGCAATCATTCGTATTTCAAAAGAAAACATTGCTATTATATTTGCTAAGTTGAATAAATGACATTTTATGGGAACAATGCCGATGAATTATTATTGATCCTCAAATCTCTTTCATCCTGAACTCTGTGTGATGCATTTGCGGTGATAGCTCTTCTGTTCATGGCATAGTATAAAATTGTTTCGAATGCAAAATAGATTGACTTGTTGTGTATA